GTAGAACAAAAAATAATACAGAAAAAAATCAAAGAAAATGATCTCTTGATGAGTTATGTTCAGTTGAATTAATCAAATGATTTCAAACAAATTGAGAATTTATTGGTAGAACAAAAAATAATACAGAAAAAAAATCAAAGAAAATAATCATTTTGATGAGTTATGTTCAGTTGAATTTGAACATGCAAGAACTATCCCTCGTTAACGTATACTCAAAGCTTACGATATTGTACGTTCGCGAATCTCCCCTTTTGCAAGACATGCAAAGCACAACCCCTTAGCTTTAGTTCACCCCTTCTCTCTCTATCTCTATTTCTCTCCTTCTCATTTTCTTTCTCTCTCGGTTTAGGTCTCCCTTCCCCAAGTTTCAAGCGAACAGAGTTTCGTATTGATCGTGCAACGTACTACGTACTCGTTTCACAGCATTCTCTTTCTCATTCTCTTATTCCCCTTTTTTATCTTTATTTCCCTCTCTCTCTCTCTCTCTCTCTTTCTTTTTTTTTTTTTCTATTTCATTCTCACCGTACTTTTGTACCTTTATTTCGGCACAAGTTATTCTTCTTATAAATTATTTTATTTTGATCTTGTTATATTATATTTTCTTTACAACCGTTAAAAAGAAAATTTTATCAACCCTTTCCCTACGTGTAACACGAAGCCCCCCCCCTATCGTATTTTATATAATATAATTCTTACAAAAGAAAAAAAAAAATGAAATAAATTTGTAGACGAGAAATACGTGTGTGAAAGAATTAATTCGAATTCGTTGTAACACACGAGTAATAAATAAACCCTTACCACCCCACCCTCCTCATCCCTTGTATATTTCCATTCGTAAATTGTAATTATCTTTTTTTTTAACAAAAAAAAAAAAGAAGAAGAATGATCGAATTTTAGGTGTGATACGAGTCAACATCACAACCACCCTCATCCCCTTTTATTATTTTAATAATCACATGTCATAGAGTGAGTATTTTTATTTATACGTTTGTGTGTGTGTGTGATTAGATTGTCACACCGATGTACATAGAATTATTTTGAAAAAGAAAAATGAAAGTAGATAGAAAGAGTGATTGAATCGTTGTGATATACCACCACCCCCACCCCACCCCACCTACCCCTTTTTCATTCACGTAGTATTTTTATCTATAGGTTTGAT